GTACTGCTGGGCCTTTGACACGGTGAGTCTCCTAGGGCGTGGTCGCATGACAATACTATCCCCTGCTAAGTACTGCTGGCCTTGACCCCGACGGTGAAGTCCTCCTTAGCGTGTGGCATGACAAAACATAATTCCCACTGCTAGTAATTGGGCTGTGGTCTGACAGCGGTGAGTCTCCGTAGCGAGGTGGCATGACAACTTATTTCCCCTGCCTAGTACTGCTGGGTCTTGACACGGGTGAGCTACCTAAAACAGTGGTGGCATGACAACTATCCCCTGCTAGTAACTGCTGGGCCTTGACACGCTGGCGTCTCCTACGTGGTGGCATGACAACTATTCCCGCCTGCTAGTATTGCTGGGGTCGCCTTGACACGGTGAGTCTCGCTACGAGGTGGCATGACAAACTATTTCCCCGCTAGTACTGCTGGTCTACACGGTGAGTCTCCTAAGGCGTGGTGCCAGTGACCCAACTAACATTCCCCTGCTAGTACTGCTGGCCTTGACACCGGTGAGTCTCCTAGCGTGTGGCATGAAACAGACTATTCCACCTGCTAGTTACTGCTGGGTCTTGAACATCGGTGAGTCTCCTACGTGGTGGCAATGACAACTATCCCGCTGCTAGTACTGCTGGGACCTTGACAACGTGAGTCTCACTAGCGTGGTGGCATGACAACTATCCCTGGCTAGTAGCTGCCTGGTCTTGACACGGTGAGTCCTAGCGTGTGAGCATGACAACTTATTCCCTGCTATGTAACTGATGGGTCTTGCACGGTGAGTCTCGCTAGCGTGGTGGGCATGACAACTATTCCCGCTGCTAGTCACTGCTGCCTTGACACGGTGAGTCTCCCTATGGCGTGGTGGCGATGAACAAAAAACTATGTCCCCTGCCTAGTACTTGCTGGGTCTGACACGGTGAGTCTCCTAGCGTGGTGGCATGACAACTAATTCCCCTGCTAGTTACTGGCTGGGCCTTGGACACGGTGAATCTCCTAAGGCGTGTTGGCATGACAACTATTCCCGGCTGCCTAGTAACTGCTGGCCTTGACAACGGGGAGTCTCCGCTAGCGTGGTTGGCATGAACAACTATTCCCCCTGCTAGTACTGCTGGGCCTCTGACACGGATGAGTCTCCCTAGCGTGTGGCCATGACAAACTATTCCCCTGCTAAGTAAACTGCTGGGCGCTTGACACGGTGAGTCTGCCTAGCGTGGTGGCATGACAACTATTCCCCTGCTAGTCTGCTGCGGGTCCTTGACACGGTGAGGTCTCCTAGCGTGGTGGCTGACAACTATTCCCCTGCTAGTACTGCTGGGCCTTGACACGGTGAGTCTCTAGCGTGGTGGCATGACAACATTCCCCTGCTAGTACTCTGGGCCTTGACACGGTGAGTCTCCTAAGCGGGGTGGCATGACAACTATTCCCTGCTAGTAACTGCTGGGCCTTGAGCACGGTTGAAGTCTCGCTAGGGCGTGGTGGGCATACAACTATTCCCTGCTAGTGACTCGCTGGGCCTTGAACTACGGTGAGTCTCCCTAGCCGTGGTGGCATGACAACTATTCCCCTGCTATACTGCTGGGCCTTGGACACGGTGCTCTCCAGCGAGGTGGCATGACAACTATTTCCACCTGCTAAGTACTGCTGGTCTTGACACGGTGAGATCTCCGTAGCGTGGTGGCATTGACAACTAATTCCCTGGCTAGTACTGCTGGCCTTGACACGGTGAGTCTCCTAGCGAGGTGCATGACAACTATTGCCCGCTGCTAGTATTGCTGGGCCTTGGACACGGTGAGTCTGCCTAGCGTGGTGGCATGACACATTACCCCGTGCTAGTAATTGCTGGTGTCTTGACCACGGTGAGTCCCCTAAGGTGGGTGCATGACACCTATTCCCCTGCTAGTACTGCTGGCCTTGACACGGTGAGTCTCCTAGGCGAGGTGGCATGACAACTATTCCCCCTGTAGATTGCTGGGCGCTTGACAGCGGTGAGTCTCCTAGCGTGGTGGCATGACAACTATTCCCCTGCTAGTACTGCTGGGCCTTGACACGGTGAGTCTCCTAGCGTGGGTGGGCATGAACAACATTGCCCCTGCTAGTACTGGCGGACCATTGACACGGTGAGTCTCCTAAAAAGCGTGGTTGGCATGACAACTATTCCGCCTGCTATGTAACTGCTGGGCCCTTGACACGGGAGTCTCCTAGCGTGGTGGCAATGACCAACTATTTCCCCCTGCTAGTACTGCTGGTCCTTGAACAACGGTGGAGTCTCCATAGGCGAGGTGGCATATGACAACTATTCCCCTGCTAGTACTGCTGGGCCTTGACAACGTGAGTCTCCTAGCGGGGTGGCAATGACAAACTATTGCCCCTGCTAGTACTGGCTGGGGACCTTTGACAGTCGGTGAGTCTCCTAGCGTGTGCATGACAACTATGTCCCGCGCTAGTAGCTGCTGGGCCTTGACACGGTGAGTCCCTTCCTAGCGTGGGTGGGCATGACAAGACTATTCCCTCTGCTAGTAACTGCTGGGGCCTTTGACACGGTGATCTCCCTAGCGTGGTGGCCATGACAACTATTCCCCAGCTGCTAGGTAACTGAGCTGGGTCTTGACAACGGTGAAGTCTTCCTAGCGTGGTGGCATGACAACTATTCCCCAGCTGCTAGTACTGCTGGTCTTGACACAAGCGGTGGGGGGGGGGGGGGAGGGGGGGGGGTGGGGGGTGGGGGAGTCTCCTAGCGTGGTGGCATGACAACTATTCCCCTGCTAGTACTGCTGGGTCTTGACACGGTGAGTCTCCTAGCGTGGTGGCATGACAAAACTATTCCCACTGCTAGTAGCTGGCTGGCCTTGACAGCGGTGAGTCTGCCTAGCAGTGGTGGCATGACAACTATTCCCCTGGCTAGTACTGCGGTGCTTGACAGCGGTGAGTCTCGTAGCGTGGTGCATGACAAACTATTCCCGCTAGCAGTACTGCTGGTCTTGAACAACGGTGAGTCTCCTAAGCGTGGTGGCATGACAACTAATTCCGCTGCTAGTACTGCTGGTCTTGAACAGCGGGAGTCTCCTAGGCGTGGTGGCATGACAACTATTCCCACTGCTAGTACTGCTGGGCCTTGAACACGGTGAGGTCCTCCTAGCGTGGTGGCATGCCACACTATGTCCCGCCTGCTAGTTACTGCTGGGTCTTGACACGGTGAGTCTTCCTAGGCGTGGTGCATGACAACTATTCCCAGCTGCTAAGTACTGCTGGCCTTGACAGCGGTGAGGTCTCTTAGGCGTGGTGGGCATGGACAGACTATAACCGCTGCTATAACTGCTGGGCCCTTGAGCAGACGGTGAGTCTCCTACGTGGTGGCATGACAACTATTCCCCTGCTAGTATTGCTGGTCTTGACAGCGGTGAAGTCTCCTAGCGAGGTGGGCATGACAACTATTCCCCTGTAGTACTGCTGGTCTTGACAGCGGTGAGTGCATCCTAGCGGTGGTTGGCATTGAACAACTATTCCCGCCTGCTAGTTATGCTGGGCCTTGACCGGTGAGTCTTCCTAAGCGTGGTGGCATGACAACTAATTCCCCTTGCTAGTATTGGCTGGGGCCTTGACAGGGGGGGGCGGGAGTCCCTAGGCGATGGTGGCATGACAGACTATTCCCTGCTAGTACTGCTGGGTCTTGACACGTGAGTCCTCCTAGCGTGGTGGCATGACAACTATTCCGCCTGCTAAGTACTGCTGGGCCCTTGAACACGGTGATGTCCCTAGGGTGTGAATACAACTATTCCCGCTGCTAGTACGCTGGTCTTGACACGGTGAGTCTCCTAGCGTGGCTGGCATGACAACTATTCCCCGGCTGCAGTACTGCTGGTGCCTTGACAACGGTGAGTCTCCTAGCGTGTGGCATGACAACTATTTCCGGCTCTGCTAGTACTGCCTGGGTCTTGGACAGCGGTGAGTCTCCTAGGCGTGGCTGGCATGACAACTATTTCCCCCCGCTGCTAGTATGCGGATTCTTGACACGGTGAGTCCTCCCCTAGGCGTGGTGGCATGACAGACTAATTCCGCCTGCTAGTAACTGGCTGGGCGCTTGACACGGTGAGTCTCCTAGCGTTGTGGTGGCATGACAACTATTCCCCTGCTAGTAACTGCATTGTCTTGACCACGGTGAGTCTCGCATAGCGTGGTGCATGACAACTATTCCGCCTGCTAAGTACTGCTGGGCCTTGACACGGTGAGTCTCCTAGCGTGGTGGCATGACAGAACTATTCCCCTGCTAGTACTCGGCTGGGCCTTGAACATCGGGGAGTCTCCTAGCGTGGTGCATGACAACTAATTTCCCCTGCTCTAGTACTGCTGGGCGCTTGACACGGTGAGTCTCGCTAGGCGTGTGGCATGACATACTAATTCCCGCTGCTAGTTGAACTGCTGGGCCTTGACACGGTTGAGTCTCCTAGCGTGTGGCAATGAGCACTATTGCACTGCTAGTGACTGGGCTGGCCCTTGACACGGCTGAGTCTCCTAAAGCGTGGTGGCATGACAACTGATTCCGCTGCTAGTACTGGGCTGGGGCTTGACCGGTGGTCTCCTAGCGAGGTGGCTATGAACAACTATTCCCCCTGCTAGTACTGCTGGGCTACCTGTGACACGGTGAGTCTCCTAGCGGGGTGGCAATGGACAACTATTCCGCCTGAGTACTGGCTGGGCCTTGACAAACGGTGAGTCTGCACTAGCGTGGTGGCATGAAACAGACTAATTCCCCTGCTAGTACTGCTGGGCCTGTGACACGGTGAGTCTCCCTAGGCTGTTGGTGGCCATGACAACTATTTCCCCTGCTAGTACTGCTGGGTCCCTTGACACCGGGGTGGGAAGTCTCCTTAGCGAGGTGGCATGACAACTATTACCCTGCGTAGTACTTGGCTGGGTCATTGACATCGGTGAGTCTCCCTAGCGTGGTGGCATGACAACTATTCTCGCCGCTAGTTTACTGCTGGGACCTTGACAGCGGTGAGTCTCCTAGCGTATCTCTCTCAAAATGTCAAGGCCCAGCAGTACTAGCAGGGGAATAGTTGTCATGCCACCACGCTTCCACTCCTCCAGCGATACTGTGCCGTCTGAATCGTAGTCAATCTCCACCATCATATCTTGTAGGATCTATACGGCAAACATGTCGATCGCATCAACGCCAGTTACCCATCTACACTGCCACATTGTCTGTCGAGCCCCCAAAGTAGCACCGAGATATGAGATGAAAGATGCTTATCCTCATACATTGCCACGTTGTGAAAGTGTATTATATCAGAAACCAGTGAAAACAAATTTGCTTTTATTTACTCCTAATGTTATAGACACAGAACAACTTACCGGTCGCAGCTCTGTCACATCCCAACCAAGATATTCAGCTACGTTCATCATTTGGTTCACTATGCAATCTAATTCCTGAGAAATTACGAAATGTCATACACATTATAACGACATATGCTTGCATTAGTCCCAATACGTTCACTGTATAATCTAATATTCTTTTATATTTTCTACTTAAATCATTTTCTTTCTATCCGCTAGAAACGCCGCCAGCAAACTCTCTCGTCGACTCTAGGTATCGGTGAGGAGACGCTTGCTCACTGAGTGCATGCGACTCCGTCTGTGTGGTGGCATATGTGTTTGTGTTTATTAAACAACTTGCAACCATGTAAGTAAACGTTAACACAAATTAGCAAGCTATATGTGCAGTCGCGCAGTCACGAGTGTGCTAGTTTAGGGTTCAATACCCTGGCGAATTCCGCGCAACAATCTGTATAAGAAACACAACAACTTTCCCACCATGTGCCAACCGCCACGTCTATACTGGCACCATTATTTTATCGGTTGCTCAATATTAAATACAAACGTTGCGACCAGAGTCTGATATATAATAAGCAAAGTATAGGCAGGCAAAATTTGCCTGCAGAGTCTACGAATACACCGCCATGCCCTCGCTTAGGCGGACATCATACGTGCCTGGAGGAAATACGCGTCTGCGAACAACAGGACACAGTGCGCAGTGCCGTTGGAGTGCCACAATGCCACGCTTTCATTCCAGATAATTATAACTAACTCCTTTACACGAGTGACGTGCACGGTATGCCTATACATTTCGATACTGCGAAGAGCGGTAACAATCGCAAATGGAATAACGGTGAGACAGTACCCTTCCCTGTGTTTTTAACTAGTTAGAAGGCACTACGTCACGCAGTCAGCTGGCAGGAGTCCAGTCATCGCTATTGCTCGCACTACGTCACGCAGTCAGCTGGCAGGAGGCCAGTCATCGCTATTGCTCGCACTACGTCACGCAGTCAGCTGGCAGGAGTCCAGTCATCGCTATTGCTCCACTTAGAAAATCACGCCAGTAAAATCCTGTTCTACCCGTGTTTACAGACACCTATCAATTCGAGATTGTTCAGCCGCGCATATACGCGTTTACACGTTAAACCTGAATATATATATACATTATATATATATATAATATATATATATAATATATATATATACTATATACTATATATATGCAAGTATATATAAAAGAAAACGCATTGCTGCGGTTAGAGGTAGGATTAGTATTATTATTGTGGTGATGGTTACATAACCTTACCCCCTGACCCTGACCCTACCCCTAATCCTAAGCTTACGCACATTCCTTAAGCTTTACGCTATTGGGATATATGAGTTCTCCGCGCCGCCACGAGGTGGTAAGATCACACCCCCAACGTTGCTCTAATGCAATATTTTTAAGTATCATAATATGATTATTAGGTTATATTATATATATTTTTTTTTTTTCATTTATGCATTATTTAATCTGATTAACTATTAACCTTAACTTATGCGTGCGGCGTGAGCTAGGTCTTCTTAACATTCTGCTTCACGCACCTCGCACTTGCTACCATTTCCGTGCGAGTTCTATTTCATATAATTGCTCATTATACTTAGATAGGCCTACACGTCATGCTTCAGTTCACTCATACGGTTATCCAAAACTATAGCACAGAACGCAACAAATTACCGATATTTATGAAGGCGAAACACTTACTGTGTTGTCTAAGATACCGTTCCCGTCTGTGTCATATAACCGGAACATAACTGAAATGTAGCAGAAAAACAATTGGTTCGAATATCACAGACGTTCGTCCGGATCGTATGCAAAACTGCTTAATAGTTAAGTAAGGTAAGTATACTGCGTTCCCTGCGCCACGCTCTGCACACACACGCTCTCTCTCTCTCTCTCTCTCTATCTCGCACACCATCTCTCTCTCTCTCTCTACTCTCTCTACACACACACACACACACACACACACACACACACACACACACACACACACACACACACATTCACGCACGCACACACGCACACACGCACGCACGCACGCACGCGCACACACACACACCCACACATGCACACGCAAGCGCACGCACGCACATACATAGACAATGCAAAAACAAATCCACAAAATCCCAAATCCAAATGCTATCTACTAATTTGCACACACACCTTTTAGTATATGTTTTCTGTATGTTCCGCATGCCATTTAATCATCTGTACTTACATTCCAACTTGTCCTCAGGTCTAGCACCTTCGAGAAGGGACAGGTAGCAAACGATGTCCTTGAGAGGCACTCTTGAAGTATATATGTCTATTATGCTGCTAGCCTTTGACAGCTTGCTGCTCTCAGAGTGTGACTTGAGCAGAGACGACGCTGACCTCTTGACCCACGTGACGTCATCTGAGTGGCCTGCAATGTAGTTCAGTGTCACATAATTCTCCGTGTCATCGATGCAAAGACTGTCATATAGTTACAATCGCTGTCGTATACAAAGGGGTCACTTCGGAAAAAATAGCTACCAAATCATTACAATCACCGCCACGTCGTTCAATGGCTGCCATACGATTTCAATAGCCGGCGTATCATTAAAACGATCATTATGTGGTCACAGTGGCCTAATTTTTCTTCCTCATGAAATCAGAATTTCCCGCCTATATAAGAACCGTGTGATTGTCCAATACTGAACGACTTGTCGAAATTTTAAGAAGTCGTTTCGCCACACGTGCATCATTCATCAGGTGCCCGTAAAAGGAAGCTAGCTCTGCTAGGCAGGTGACTTAGCGCTCAAACGCGCTGACAGACAACACAACGAAACAACGGATCGAACGATGCAAAGAACGATAAGAAATCTAGATGTAATAAGAGAACGCATGCGTAGTTGCTGACGGAAACATCGATGCGCATTCGCGATAATGGCAAAGGTCCTCGCAAATGAGTTGTCATCAGGAACCTTTTTAAAATATCACGGACGAACAAATTCGTTGCTAAACACCGGTAAAAGTCGCTTCCAATACTGTGCAGACTGAACAACTTCCCGTACGCCGGGCAGACGTTTAATTTGAAATTGATCCAACAACGCACATTTCGTAGACAGGCATTTCCGCATTATATCGTAGGAGATTTCATCGATGGTGTGCAGAAAAATTCAAGAACCTGTGCGTATGACAATGGCGCGCACGCGAGCACTTCCGGCGATCATTCAGCAGCGTCCAGAAGGAGTTTTAACGAATGCGAATTGAAGTTTATGAGGTCTATAGAGAGACGGCCTGCGGCTGGGAGGTTTACAACGCACGTAACAGATATCAGCGTAAATCTACATTAGCTAGGTTTAACAAAGCTTTATAGCGACGCGCGACCTTGTGCAAAGATGTCAGGATCATTACAGAAGCACGCAGGCACGAACATGTGCGGCATAACGATTGATATCGTCCTGAAATTGTAAATCCACCCGTCCAAAGGCGACAGTCGCTCGTACGGAAAAGATTTATATGGCACTCGGCTCGTAGTAGTACACGATATAATAATCAACATTGAACATAATAATCGAATTTTCTTCTCGATGTCAAGGCCGACCAAAAGCTGACGCAGGGGTAGCTTACAATTTACATGCGCAATTCAAGCGTAATTCTGGTATCCATGTAAGTAAAACGATGCTGCAATTTTATCGAAAACATTTCTTTTTGGGTATCGAAGGCCGTTCCAGCGCGCATTGGCGCTGCATACAGCCAGATCATTTCGCGGAACTCGTGAGCGAGGACGGACTTGAATTGCAACAGAATCCGGAGTTAAACGTGCAATAAAGAGCACGCCGAAGTCGCACCAATTTAAATTATGTAATCTTTCGATTTGCCCGAGGGTTCAATCCCAACATGTGGAGCATTAGGACGCGGATGTTACGGGACAAGTGCTCGTCCGTAGCGATTATGACTGCAGCGTGCATAATACGCACACGAGAAGGAGCGCAAATTTCAAAATCAGCTACGTTTACAGTGTGCAGAACAGACTGTGACAACAATGCATTATGCGCCCGCGAGAGGGTGCTACTAGACTAGATTTAATATGACGCATTTAATGCGGCATGTTTAACACGACACACCGCACATGCACGGTCATGGCCGTGCGCGAGTGACCTCTGAATCACCTCGTAGGGTTGCTTCACGAGCTCGAGCACGCGAGCTTCATCACAGCAACTACAAGGTAATAATCCGTTATACGGCTACGCGAGCAAAACGGAAAACAATGATACTGACTACATTCGAAACCAGTAACCTGAAAATGTGGAGTGAAAGGCAAAACACAATGACGAGCAAACACGCGCTTATCCATAACAACTATAATAAATATATAGACCTTTGACGCGTCTCAACTCGATAATCTTAAATCAAACTTAATAAATTTCAGGCAGATTCACCTGAATCAATGGATTTAATAACGGTTATCGCAACAGATCGACTTTCCTAGCCGTCAGCCGAGGTACGGCAGCGTAAGCTACCTTCAAAAAATGATAACGTTTCGTCGGGCAAGTTTCTACTCGCCGAGATAACTCTAGCATACGCCTATTGGCTACGTAGTGAATGCTCGATTGAGTGGAAACGTCTATAGTTTATATAGAAATGCACATGTATAGATTCGGCAATGTATAGTCGGTTACTAATAAAAGACAATATACTGACAACGGGGGAAGTATGGTAACGTGCGTGGCGTCTGTAATGTCCACTTGCATCCATTACAGGAATGTATAAAGTGACAAGATTGTCATGATCGTTCAAGCATTCCTTAGACGTAAATACAGATAAATATTTGTATTTATCTGTTGCTTGTCCAAGTGCAGTCAGGAAAATAACGCGTCGAAATGCATTGCAATGCAAATAGTGGCAGATTCATGCATCTTGCAATTGATATCTATACTACTAATAAAACTGTCTATGCAATCCGTCATGTATTGATTTCGGACCCCCCAAAATGCCACGCTGTTAGTTTATAACCATGAGGGTGGCCTAAGCATATTTAAAAGTATACACTAAAACTAATATATCAAAGTAAGTAAAATATTAAAAGCCTATAAGGTAAATACCGAGACACCTAGATACCAATTGAATGCTCAATACTTAATACGCAGTATTCATGATAACTTGGCGCAATTTCATAACATTGCTGTATATCCAGAAGCTTTCACTACACAGAATCATTGAATCGTTAGAACCGTTTTTGTCTGAATATTGTTTATTGTTTGTTTCTCTGTTACGAATCTATCCTTAGAATCAAGTAAATATATGTGGCTAAAGTTGTTTCCGAGCAACGCCGGTTACCCGGCTAGCCTGTTATTGTAATTATAGGTACAAGCAGCATGGATTTCTGAGTTGCAAAGCCATCGTTTTGAAACAGGGCTTATACAGTTGTGATAATGTCCGGATATAAACTAAACAGTATGTACCAAGTATCTGAGCTAAGAAGAACAGTGACGACGCCGACGACAACGATGACGACGACCACCACCGCCCACGCCACCGCCACCACCACCACCACCGCCACCGCCACCACAACCGCCACCGCCACGGCCACCGCCACTGCCACCGCCACGGCCACCAACACCGCCACCAAAACCGCCACCAACATCGCCACGGCCACGACCACGGCGACGGCCACCAACACCGCCACCGCCACCAACACCGCCACCGCCACCAACACCGCCACCGCCACCGCCACCGCCACCGCCACCGTCACCGCCACCGCTACCGCCACCGCCACCACCACCGTCACCGTCACCGTCCCTACTACTACTACTACTACTACTACTACTACTACTACTACTACCACTACTACTACTACTACTACAACTACTACTACTACTGCTACTACTACTACTACTACTACTACTAGTTCTTCTTCTTCTTCTTCTTCTTCTTCTTCTTCTTCTTCTTCTTCTTCTTCTTCTTCTTCTACTTCTTCTTCTACTACTACTACTACTACTACTACGACGACGACGACGTCGACGACGACGACAACGACGACGATGACGATTACTACTGCTGCCGCTGCTAGCGCGTTTACCGGAATAGTACATAACAGAAGGCGGAATATAGTGAAAACAGCATGCATAAATGATGCGAAAAGAACATGTATTGAGCATTGCAGAAGTCTACCAGGTTTAACGAGGGCGCAATCCAAAGTACAGTAGACAACAATCATGCTGATGACGTAGTCAGCCACGCTATCGCGCGACAACACCGATAATGGCGACAACGACCGTCATAGTTACCGTTCTGCGTCAACACTGAATTATTAGATTTCTTGGAAGAGTTTCTCGAGTGGTTTGATGGAATGGGTGACGACTCTGCCGACTTCGCGTCGCTAACTACCTGGCAGTCGGTTCGATGGATGCTCATCGAAGGATGCGTGGAACTGGAGAAGCTGCCTAGAATCCATAACCAAGGCAGCGCACCACCATCACATCTCGGCACAGAACTCTCTGCCATGAAAACCGCGAATCGCTGCATACCGAATACGTTTCATACAGAGCGGCGTGGAGTGTGCATCGCATACCATGACAACACCACACAAGCGTCCCACGCCATTGCTACTATTAGTGATAGGCTATAGAGAGACACGAGAGGAGGGAAAGTAAATTGTTCATTATTTCGGGTGACAATATCGTTAAGCCACAAACACCACAAATGCGCACACATGCGCGCACGCGAAAAAGGCGCACAAATACCCTCGCACGCACGCACGCACACCGACACACAACCCATTTATTCCACTCATAACTAGGGTGTATCTGGAATGATTAAACTAATTATAACAATCAATTTCGTACGTTTTCCAACGCAGTTATACAGAAGTGTACGTTGCAATGTGCACGTATAGGTAGGCGATTCAGAAGCAGCACTCGCGAATTACAGCCTGGACATAATTAAACATTGAGTACACAGGAAAGCGGTAACGTGTGTGTTTCGGGAAGGCTAACACGCTTTCTAGTCGCCAAATGAAGTGTAACCTCATCGGAAGCGCTGTTGATACATAATCTACATTGGAACACATAAACACCATGCACTCATATAGTAAACACACGCTCAAACCACCTATCTCGTGTTGCTGTATAACGAGTTGAATTTATGTATGTCAATTGTAAAACAGGCCTATAGGTTTAAGTATATCAAACACTAGCGGTGTTACGTTAAACTTGCAATGGGCGTCTGGGTGATTATACTTATGCGCGAATTTTTATAGTGAACAGTGGCAGGCTGGAAAGCACACGTATAGGACGAGCCCGCTTGCACGGGACGATTTAAGAGAATAAAGTGATAGCAAATATAAAGCAACTCTTAAAGCAAGATATTAGTGCGCATCACTATATAACCGTTTATGTATTCTATCTTTAATATTCAACTTTGTTGTTGATCGAATTCCCCGGGAGGAACAAACAGTGTCACCAGGCACTCGCTGCTTACACTACAATACACACACATATATATATATATATATATATATGAGGTTGATATAATTATATTGTATCATATAATATTATTGAACAGTATCTAATTTCTGAAGCGGCCAAAATGATCTCTAAACAAAAACACAGTCTGTTAGAGTATTAGTTATAATTTTTAGTTAGTATTGTAGGACAGAAGGCACAATATTACGGTAGCGTTATCTATCTAATCAAAAATGTTTGAACAGGCGTGGTGTAATGCTCCAACCGGAGGGGTGTTAGTACCTGCGCGCCCCTGGCTGCCCGTCTCAGAGCCGGCTGAACCATCGTGTTTTCCTATGTGACCAAGCATGTGTATCTTCTCCGTCAGTCCGTGAAGCTTTTCCGACATACTTGTATGCTGGGACTTCGGTTCGGACTTGTCGAGCAGGCCGTGACCCCCGTGACCTGCATCGATGACGACTTTGTTCTCGTTATGCGCCGTGATTGGTGCGCACATCGTCTGCTGCGTTGCTACGGCAACCTCCTTTATCAGCTCTTTACCTGCAAAACGCGTGTGCGCCTCAGAAAACGTTGTGGCGGCAGAGGTGTGGGATTGCGCTAGGCCACCCAAATGTCGTCGTTTGCTTACGAGTCAAAAAGACTAACTGAGACTGACACACTAGATTCTGATACTAGCCCGGACTCGCCGACAGGGCTTTATGGGTGTTCGTGCAGATTTAGTGAGACGCATTAAGGCTCTATGAGATGTGTGAAGATCCCCGCGGAAATATCTGAGAATTACGAAGCCTTGCTGTTAAGAATTGCTGATACTTGCTCATATTTTGCGAAGACCGGCAGCGACTAGGACAAAGTCTATGACATTCAACTACACTAGCTGATACACAAGGAGATTTGCTATCGATTTGTCAAGACTCGCCGATAGCCGTGAATCCTAGCTGAGACTCGGAATCACTAGCCGAGAGTCGGGCAAATATTCGCCGATCTTAGATCTCGGTCTCTTGAGTCAGCGAAGAGACGCTGGTTCGTGCCATCAGGAAGTCAATGAGCTCGTTATTATCATGTGACATTATATCATCCGTTCGCCGAACCTGATTCACAAGACCAGGGACCTGCTAAATAAATCCCCGGCGCACACCGCAGCGTCATACGCACATATACGAAGAAGATGGCAAAACGAGAAATCACGTGACACTGTCTGTTCAATCTTCGTTCGATCTTCGATACTTGGCGGTTCGATATATCGTACATATACATATACATATACACCATGCGTGCGTGCGTGTGTGTGTGTGTGTGTGTGTGTGTGTGTACTATTAAGGATACCGCTACCCCTGAGTATGCTAAAATGGGACGTGTTCGATCCTAGCATAATATTCTAACGACCATGTAACAAAATCGTACTTACTCGGATACTGACACTGCAATATAAACAGTGGTAATGGTGACACCAGCCTTTAGTGATTGGTTAGGAACGTCTGGGTATATGACAACTCCATAGCTACGCGGACTGTCATACAGTTCATACTACTTACTCGTGGCCGCCGTGTGGATACAGTAGTAACCGCCGTATACGTTTTAAAATATAGGTCTATTCTAAGACTACGTGTATTAAAGTATTTATTCCATTATGTAGGTATATGGCTGATTCTTTACCAATAAAATACAATACAATAAAATAATATAATACAAGGAAGGAGCTCTGTGTAAGGGAATTAACAACTGCCAGTAATGCGCAAACTGAGTGCTCATTGCCATAACAGCAACAATAACGTGTTTGCAGGCTTGTTTGCAATGTCTAATAAATATGTTGTAACATATTTGCTTATTCACTTGTTTCCCATGTAAACTAGAGTAACGGAATCAAACTGTTCTGTTTATAAAAATTCAATATTTTAAATATTACCGACAACATACTGAATCCAGTTTTTTTTTAATGCAACTTGCTAAACCACAAAGGGGATCAGTTTATTTCCAAAGCTCTTTATCCCTTATACGATAAGCTCCTGCATTAAAATCTATTATGATGCATTTGTGCCCCGCTGTGTGAAAGATTCCTCATTTGCGCAAAAACTAACTGCATTATTCAGTCTTCTTAGCCATGTAAGACAAACAGATCTGTATCCACTTATAAACTTTGTCTCTCATAACTAGACCAACCGGCAAAGTAGCTTGCTTCTTTTGAACAGTGGTTATTATGCTTGTAAACGTTATCCAAGCTCATAAATTCAGTGTATAGGCTACCGACATACAGTACATACACATGCAATTGAATCATATGCAAGAAATATTAAAATAATATGAATTTAATATATAATATTATAAAAATTGTTAAAGCCGCACAATGCGCATCCAAACGCTAATTTATCCAGTACTAGACTAGCAAATACTTCGTGTCATGCATAATCACACTACCTTATGACAAAATAAACTCTAGTTCCTCCCATTTCACTGCGCGTTGTCTTATAAAAGGTATTTGAAAATACCTCCAATGTTGTTCAAATTCTCCGATGTTGTTGACACTTCCCTGCCAAGCAACCGTACAGCGGTGCTGCGGTACAGCGGTACGGGTGTAGCAAAGAGAAAAACATGTGACGTCACCTCACCACTTCGAGGCTAAATTGTTTGGCAAACGCAGTGAAATGGGAGGAACTAGAGTTTATTTTGTCATAAGGTAGTGTGATTATGCATGGCACGAAGTATTTGCTAGTCTAGTACTGGAGAAATTAGCGTTTGGATGCGCATAGTGCGGCTTTAATGATTTCTTTTTCTATTTTCCCTGACTACGGGTATGCAGGAAATTCATAAATTTAGCTAAAAGACACCTAGATCAAAGTGTGAATATAATTATACAGTTCCTTCGTGAGTTGTAGTTGGGGCTTTCAGACAAGGCTGCGATCACATTACTGCCTCGCCATGGTGACGAACACCAGTTTTAACAAAATTCAGAATTTATGTCTTTAAAGTACCAGCAGTGTCATGTGCGAGTGGATGAGAAACGGCGCTTGCATCGTATACTAAAAACAGTAATTTAAAATTTTGCATATACAGTCTCCAAGCTGACATTATATTGACGAAATTATTACCATTTATGCAAACTGATAACATATTTAACCACCTACAAAGAAACATTGCATATTTCACAGTTGATAAATATCTTGTAGCATTAGTTTAAAAAAACAAAAGGTTTCAAAACTTGTTTATCAATTCGTCATATAGTCCATTGGCCTCTGCTTTTCACGATATAGTTCACGCATTCAAGTCAAATCCTGTAAGTTAAAATGCTCATGCTTTGTCTGCACACTCTCCAATATCAAGTGATACCGTTGTAGGCCTACATCTATTGACTGATTTAGTTCTTCAAAATAGTGCTGCAATGTAATTAACTTTCTGCATAGGTAGGCACCAACTTCCTACGAGCCTTCTACTCCTAATACCTTTCCTAACCCTGCAGTGCCAGTACTAGTGGACGTGGCTACGTGTTCTTAATTGTTTACTTCGACAGCGACGGGGGTCTTCGCAACGATACTCCTTTACTATGACGTGTTAAGAAGACAAAATTTGAACGAGTAACGTCATTAATAAGCGCTCCAATCGGCGACGGAAAACAATAGGCAAAATGCCGAAGCGAACTTGATTGTCAAATTGATTTCTGCACTCCCGTAATGCCTAGATGAGCTACGAATACTATATCTCAGCCTAGGATTGTCTTAGAGGCAAGCGGTGGGTTTTGTTATAGCGATGAAAGAACGCTGCTTAATTCAATAATACCAACTAATTCCAGACGTGCAATTAAAATAGAATCATTGTACCGTAAACAGTTTTCCCGTTTTCCCGTTGTACACTCTATGTATTATTAGATTTTGACGGTATTTATGTTGTTTAGAGATGTAACGTTCGGGGTGTTGTCATAACATGGTTCATGCTAATACGAGCCATATAACTCTAATTTTTTGCCATAACCTTTTGATTGTTTCCGCCGATGCTATCCTCCGCTACCTTTAAGCTCTTGTGTCTCCAACAATTAAGACAGCAGCAAGAACACGCAGTAAGAGAAGACAATGCACACACACACGGTCGCCACGAGCGTGCTGTATGCATATACACACTGCCTTACCGCTATACACACTGCACATATGCATATACACACTGCCTTGTTGCTATCGGGGAAAGCCCCCACGGGAACGTTCGACACATCATGTCACATGGGTGTACGAGAAAAAGACGACAATGCATTTCTTTCGTAAATCGCTTGTCAATTAATAATTGCTCGCTAGCATCTGCAAACGCGAACGCTACCCACCTCTGAACTCTTCGAGCTGCTTCTGCTGCATGATCTGACTGTGCTGATGTTTCTTAATGAATGAGAGAAAGAGATGCTGGCACAGGTCCGTCGGCACGTCCACCTCCAGGTATGTGTCCATGAACAGTTTAAAGCCCTCATAGTCAATATGCTGGAGCAAACAGAAGTCGGCCATGTAAGCTTCGAAAAATGGAGAAGACAGCTTGCTAGGGCACACACACACACACACACACACACACACACACACACACACACACACACACACACACAACTACTACTACTACTACTACTACTACTACTACAGGCACTGGAGCGAAGACAAGACGGTCACGGTGGTGACGTCATGTTTCCAAGTCCTAATTCTGCACGCTGCAAAATATTTCTACTCTCAATAATTATTGTCTTAAAGTTTCAACGAATCAGTGCACAAACAAGAATATTATAGAGTTGTTTTCCTATAATTTATATAGTGTTCTATAACATCTATAGAGATCTATAGTATATTCGTTGGTTTCTCTTTATATCCATAATTTTATTGTTTGTGCACAGCGGCGTGCGTGCGGTGTACTCATGTGTTGCAGAGAAGCATTTGAACGGCATTTACAGAAAATTATCGGCAATAATAGGCAAAAGAGAGTAGAGAAACATTAAGACTTTGGTAGTAAATACATTTCGTGTTTATTTCCCATCATTTTGTAATTGAAACGTTCCAAGTGCCCGTGGTTATGTATCGGAGCTTAGTCTCTTTACGTAGGAGCGGTATGGATCTACTATCGTTCTAAGTTTAAGTGTAGGAGTAGGAAAGGAGATATGAGACAAACCACCTAATAAAACACTATAACTATATGAGTGACATACCACACGGACGTTTATTCTCAGCCGTAATAACGGTTATACAAGTTGACTGAAGTACGGCTAAGATGTCAGTAGAGGCAAGGGATAGGCTAAGAGACGGCCAAGCTCTACCCGAGTACGGTAGGCCCGTCTTCTTATAAGCCTGTCGGGTGCTAGGTAATTGGGATCGTAGAAGCGCGAAACAGTGACACGTTTCTCACGGTGTGACTTCGCGACAGGTGTCTTTTTATTATCTTTCCTCATTTCGTGTCGCACCTGAATGGTTTCGTGAGCTTCATTATTCCCACAAGTGCGCTCCAACACCGACGCGGTTTACCTGTCGTAAGCCCGACGCGCTTCGTGCGTGTTTTACTCGCTACAGTTAAACACTCGACTGTAAGCGCGTGGCTACTGCTAGCTCTCAAACTATAGCCCTTCGCTCTGACACAGGCCTGAGGCAGAGCGATGGGCTATAGTTCTAGAGCTAGGCCTAGTATAGCCAAATATACGCGCATCTTATATCTATACCCATGTAGCCACGGGTAGAGTGAAGGCCTACGTAGCATGTAGTAGATAAAATATTGCAACATAACATGGAAGAGCACAAGTTAATTCCGACTACTCTGTTACTCTCTTACTGTTCAATTACACAACAGGCATGAGGCAGAGGGAAGGGCTATAGTTCTAGAGCTAGGCTACTGCGTCCTGCGTTATTCCATCTACCTCTACATCTACCTCTACCTCTACCTCTACCTCTACCTCTACCTCTACCTCTACCTCTACCTCTACCTCTACCTCTACCTCTACCTCTACCTCTACATCTACCTCTACCTCTACCTCTACCTCTACCTCTACCTCTACCTCTACCTCTACCTCTACCTCTACCT